TATATCACCTTCTATGTATCTCTATATCACCTTCTATGTATCTCTTACTGTCTTAGGTCAACTTCCAATCTCTGACATTCACATTATATCCCTCACATCATCATAGCAATCCCCTTCTGAACCTCCCGGACAGATATGCAACTCCAAGATGCTGTCTTGGATCTCATGGATGAAAACCTATGATCCCAAAGCTGACCTCAGGTTCTCGTTTAGTTCGGTTAATCCCACTGGCTGAAATTCCCTCGACGGAAGAAGAGAAAGAACGTTTGGCAATACATTCTTTAATGGCTTATCGTTTTCCTCCAAAGGGGGAAGAAAATAAAGCGAGAGATTTATGGATGGAGATTGTTGAAGGAAGAAGTTTTTTATGGGAAGGGATAAGGGAAGATAAAAAGGAATGTATAAGAGGTTAGTTTTACTTTATTCACTTACTAACTCCCCTTCTTCGTGTCCCGCTCTCTCTCTCTCTCTCTCTGTCACCTTCTCCTCGTTCGTCCCCTCTTCACCCTTGTATACTCGAGTTCCGACTCCCATTTCCCCCTTCATTCTCCACTAGTGTATGTTACTCTCCTTATTTACCGCCCTACTCTTCGGTATGGGTTTCTCTCGATCGTTGGAGAAGTTTGATCACAACCTTCTCCTTGCCTTCACTTCCCGAAGTCATCTTTCAAAAGATCTCAACTCACTCCAGCCTTCCTGGTCCACTTCCAAACCCTCTGTCTACGTCGAGCCCACAAAAGATTCTCTTTCCGAAACTTTTCCCTAGGAAACGGATTCTTGACCGGTGCTCGCGATTTATTCTCTTCACTCCCATCGGCCATATTCCTCTTCAAAGCCATTGCTGGAGTGGACCAAACAGTCGCGGTCATACCAGTAATCAACACGAATCAGACTATCACCATCGCTGCACATTTGAGAAATGGGAATACGTTAGTTGGACAATGTTCTATTTCTCATCCTACTTCTTCAAAGATGGTAATTACGTCTTGTTCAAGTCCTTCAAGAACTCCAACACCACTACGGGATGAAGTGGAAATTCCCATTCTCGATCCGAATACAGAACCAAATGGAGTTTCTTTGAATCCCACGGACAACAGAAATGGTTCGCCAGAGGAGAGGTCTCCATTTGAAACGAATATACATGAGGAGAGGAAAGTGGATGGGGGAAGAAGTATGAGTGTGAGTATGAGTGAGGAAGAAGGAGTGAAGAAACTTGTTGAAGAAGTTGTAGGGTGGAAGTTTAGTGATGGAAAGTCGATTGGACAAGAACGTTTGAATGGACTGAATGGATTAAGGAGAGATTCAAGAACGTTTGATACTCATGTACCACCTTCTCCCATTGAAAGAGGGACGATTTCAGTTGGGGGTGGTATAGAAGCTCCTGAATTGGTAATCACTGAGGAAGAGGGTTTGGATGATAATGTGGGATATATGAAAGGTGAGAAAGAAAACCCTTTGGAAGCTCCTGTGGAAAGGGTTTATTATATCAATTTATATGGTCAAGTAAGTGTTCAACATCATACTCTCACTCTTCCATCCAAACATCTCTCCAAATCATTTACAAATCTTCCATAAGATCATTCCACTTTTTCAAATCATCCACAACCGTAATCCACGATTATTCGATCCCCTTAAAAGAGTTGTCGGGGTGATATTTGAGTCAATCAGACGTTGATATGACTGACTCGTTAGGAAATATACCCCGAACCTAATCCCGATTTCTTATTCGCGATCAACCAACGTGATATTTTGGTATACTCTTGCGGATCATTATGGACCAGTATAATACCTTGTTTAGCGCTCAGAGGGTTAGGTATGGCGATAGCTACTTCAACTAGTTTGAAAGCGAAGGTTTTGTTATGTGAGTTGTTGTCCTTGACTTTCCCACTTTTCCTCGACAGACCTTCTTCTGCCGCCTTCTTTAGCGCCTGTCATTCCCATTTCCCTTTTGTCCTCAACATACGTTCCTCTGCCCCCCTCCTGTCACTGTCCTCTTGAAGTATTCCTCCCCTACTACCATTGACATTTCTTGCTATTGAGGTATATTCCAGTTGACCCCATAGTGAACTCGAGGAACGATAGAGAAACACCACATTACAAAGCATCAGATTATGTAAAAACGATCTTGACTACTTTAAGAACATACGATCGACCTACACGTTCTCCGTCGACTTGGGAGGCAAGAAGGTTGTTTACGCATTTGGTGTACTTGGTAGGTGGGGAAATAGAGGTGGATAGCGATGAAATAGAGGTATGTTCCAACACTCTCTTCATTTTCCTTACTCTTCAGTCATCTGGTTGAAATGCCTGTACGGATTCAATCTGCTATTCCGATTTGTGCTTGTCGTCAGGAAGGGCTGATGTGTAAGGAAATGTGAGTGAAACTCGTCTGCGTACCTCGTGAGATTCACGGGACGGATAATATGTTCACTGTTGAGGCTGTGGAATGGGCTATGAGTAGGTGTTTGTGAATCTAAAGGGATCGATCTTGCCGTGAAGTATCTCATCTCATGGAAGTGT